ATCTCGGCTCTCTGAGCTAAGATCGAAGTAATCGCTTCTCGGCTCTCTGAGCTTGTAAGATGGAATTAGTCGCTTCTCGGCTCTCTGAGCTAAGATGGAATAGGTCACATCTCGGCTCTCTAAGCTAAGATCGAAGTGGTCGCTTCTCGGCTCTCTGAGTTAAGATGGAATTTATTAAATGTTATTAAATGTTAAAAATTATTTTTGAACGTATCCCACACAGCATATTTTATCTGGGATATACTGAGGAATTCTAAATTGTCCCAGACTTTTAAATATATTTTTCCTGAAAGATTTATATATTTAATACAATAATTTAGATTTCACATAATTACTCTGTAACAATCATATACATATTTGTATTTTTACAGTTTACCATATAATATAGTTAACGATGTACAACTCTGCTGTTGCGAATCGTATCAGTGAGTGATAAATTACTTTTTATTTTGAAATTGAAATGTCGCGATACTCTCAAGATGCGTTTAGCATAAATACACGCATAGTCACACGCATCTCGTACTTTTGAGGTCGATTTTCGCGGTCGGTTTTCGCGATCAGTTTTTCACATGTTCAAGAAATTATTAATTGTTGAATTTCATCCATATTATAAATTTTATTTTTAATACAAAGCTTGACACATTTAATTTTACCAAAGTGCCAGTAGAAATAAAGCATGTCAATAAAATGGGATGATTAATGATAAAAAATCAAACTTTAATAAACTTGCTATACAGTCTAACATTGCTTTGCAGCAACATTTTATATTTAGTAGTTATACGTATAATTTATATTTCACATTTTACTTTTTATTCCATTGTACATAAGTTTTACGATAAGAGCATACATACTCAACGTAGACAGCTGCGGCATGCGAAACGAAGAAGACTGGTTTTTGGTTCATGTCGCTACGTCGATTTTTCGCCGAGTTATAGCGTTTTAAAAATCGGGCGCGCGCGCTCCATTCATTTGTGAAGGCCGCGCGAGTTTTACGAGAGTAGTACGCGAGCGTACTACGTCCCCAAAAAACTGGCATAAAAACTTACGAGGCACATGTGTTCGGTAGTAAACATTGCCGCGCGAGACGCCGCATGTTACGCGTCGTCTGCTGCTGCTGCTGTCACAGGATTAAGAGAGAGATCGAGAGTCGATATAATTGTCAATATCTTCGCACAGAAAAATCGTAGGAAGATGATCTTGGTCTCGTTGGAAAGCTAAGATTTGAGCGCTTCTAACGAGATAAGAATGGCTTATCTCGGATCATTAGTTTATGAGGCATTATTGATAAATTCCGAGAAAATTGATTTTGTCCCAAGATCGTGATTGTGAATTAATCTTTCGATTGGATGAATCTCTCTCACGTCGTGCATTAAATAGCAAATCTAATTTATGTTCACTCAATATTTATTTTTCTATATATATACACATATGTAATTGCACAATTTCTTGTTGACAATCCCCTCCTCGGGTACTACCTTGCTGTGGTGGAGGGGCTTAAGTACCCTGAAGGGTTACTCTCTAA